CATGCAGCCGCTGTGAGCCAGCTCTGAGAAACACGCACAGGAATCTCAGTCAAAGGTATCGATACTCAAAAAAGTATCGATGCTAAAACGTTGTATCCGGATACGATACTCATTTCCAAAAGTAGCGATACCACGAAGCTGTGCCCCTTCTCTGTGATTTATCTATTTATTTATTTGCATTGTTTATGATCATTAACGTGACGTTAGCCTTGAATTGCTAGCTGCGGCTAATGGCTAATAATAACATGCCAATATTAATTTGGGCCACCGGCCACCATAACATCAGTAATAATCAGTAAGTTTGAAACCAAAGATACTAAAATGTTCAAATTCAGTTCAATTTTGGGGTCTTTGTTTTTATCCTTGTGGTATCAAAAATGGTATCGAGTATCAAATATTTTTCTAAGTATCGGTATCGAGTTGAACTGTTTAGTATGGTGACACTGTACAATCCCCCCCCTTCCTTCACCATCTGGATCTCTGCTCTTTACCAGCAACACTTTCCAGGCTGAACTCACCCTTTAGTCTGTCAACTAGATACTCCTGGTTGGGTGTGATGTCCAGGTACTGGACTATGGAGTTCAGTGTGGGGATCAGAGAGGCCTTCATCACCGCTGCCTGTCTCAGGCTGCTGATGCTTGCCTCTGGTGGAGGAAAACAGGAGAAAAGGTGTTTTTGTCAGATGGGGCTTTAACAGTTGGCCAGCAGCCGACTCTGGAGCAGCTCTACCTCCGATCTGGGGCTCCGGGCATCCCATCCTCCGGAGCTGGCTGTTGACAGTGTCGATTTCCTTAACCAGAGGGACCAGGATGGTGTCGCTGATCCACTGTAGATGCAAAGTAAACTCAATTTGTAAATGCTTTTGATTTACAAAAGGCAACAGCGTGAAATCGTCAGGTTATGATGATATTATGGTTATGGAGCTGTGGGGTCTGGATCTGTGGTTGGGAGTTTCCTGCTGCCCCCGTGTTCCTGCTCTGTTGCCGTCATAACTTCTACCATCATCATTAGTATTAACATCATTGCTATTTTTCATCTAGTCTACGTGTGGCTGTGTTGACTGCCTCTCTCGCCCTCTCTCTCTTGCCCTCTGTCTCTCTCTCGCCCTCTCTTTCCCTCACCCCCAACCGGCCGAGGCAGATGGCCGCCCACCCTGAGCCATGGTTCTGCTCGAGGTTTCTGCCTGTTAAAAGGAAGTTTTTCCTTGCCTGTGTCGCCTAGTGCTTGCTCATGGTGGGAATTGTTGGGTTTCTGTAATTATCTTCAGAGTAGGGTCTGACCTGCTCTGTTTGGAAAGCGCTGTGAGACAACTGTTGTTGTGATGTGGCGCTATATAAATAAAATTGAATTGAATTGAATTATGAACACATCTACAAACATTTCGGAGCTTTGCGGTCCAGCTATCGATGCGGTCCACGACGGCACGGCTGCTTGTGATTCTGGCCCACACCTACGCATCACAAAAGGGAAAAAACACTTCATAACCACCAACAAAAACACAGGCAAGGCTTTAATCGGCTTTCTTTCACCCAGGAGTGGACACAGACCTCCTCGGCGGCCTGTTTGGAGCCCAGGTCCGTCTCGTCCTTGTTGGCGGACGGCGCCTGGGAGCGGCACGCCGGCTGATAGAGGAACTTCCTCAAGCTCTGGGCGTAGTCTCCCACCGAACGGTTGTAGTTCCAAAACGTTGGGCTGTGGCTCGGAGACACAGCCTCCGGACTGCCTGCAGATGGAATCATCCAGATACTGGTTTAAAATTACGTTTCCTGGGGCCGTGACTGGGGTTGTCACGATACTAAACTTTTCAGGAAAATATTCGATACTTGATACCATTTTTGATTCCTTAAGGATAAAAACCCTAACCCTAACAAACTGGTCATGTTTACCTCGTGTAAACATGACCAGTAACCCTAACCCTAACCAAAAATGTTACTGAATTTGGACAGGTTAGTGTGTTTGGTTTCAAACTTACTGATTATTACTGATGTTATGGTGGCGTGTTATTATTAGCCATTAGCCACAGCTAGCAATTCAAGGCTAACATAACATTAATTATCATAAACAATGTAATTAAATAAATCAGACAGAAGGGGGGGGGTGTCGATACTTTTGAAAATGAGTATTGTATCCGGATACAACGTTTTAGTATCGATACTTTTTCGAGTATCGATACTTTTGACAACACCTGCTCTCAGAAGAGGAGCTCCTGCAGGAACCCACCCAGCTGGCTGCGGTGACTCTTCTCCTCCTCTGTGCGCAGGAACCTCTCCAGACTTTTCAGATCCTCCATGTAGTCCTCTTTGCTTCCCGGGGAGTTGAACACTGACGGGGACGTGCGATACCGAGCCCTCAAGCTGGAGCCTTCCGCCGACCCGACGCTGTTGGAGTAGGGAGAGGATCCAGAGGAAGGACTGTAGCTCAGCACCTGGAACAAAAGGAAGCTAATCAGCTAATCCATACTACAATCCAATACTACAGGTTCTCCACTCGGATTGCCCACAAGGAACAGTGTCCTTTTTGCAGTCATAAAAGTTGGTCATATGGTCTTGTTGCCTTTCTTTCTCCTTTTTTTTATCTTTATTTTTTTTTCTCCCTCCCCCCTCTCTCCCTTTCTAAAGGATCTCTCTCCTTTCCACTACTCTTCCTTCCCCCTTGTCCCTCTGTCAGGTTCGGCATTATGGGACATATGGAAGTTTGGTAACAAAAATGAATAAATAAAGAAGTTTTGGGTAATCAAGGGGGGCTTCTCACTAACAAAGCCTCCCTAGGCAAAGCTATTTTGCTCAGCATAACACGGTACGCAGATTTCAGTTCTACTACCATAATCCTCAACAGGACAAGGTAAAAGAAAATAAAAAATCAGCTAATCCACTTCAGAGCTTTTTCTTCTTATCAAACTCAAATAACTGATGAAGAGATATGCACCTTTCCGAAGGCCACTGAGGGGGAATAGGGGCCTCCTGCGCTGCTCGCTGTGGAGGGGTTACTGAGAGAGGGGCTGTAGCCCGTGACACAGCTCGGGGAGAACTTGGGACTGCTGGAGGCCGGCCGGGAGGGGCTGAAGCTCAGCACACTCTGACCCTGCAGCGGACACGACTCGGCTGGAGCCGGGGTTTCCTTCTTTTCCGGCTTCTGTGGTGGAGAGGCCTGGAAACCTACAAGAGAACGTCCAACAAACATTTCTCATGAGAGGATGAAGTCCTGACAGCATGTTTTAACACTTGGGAAATATCAAAAGATTGTGTTGAAAGCCTCACTTGTGTTTCTTAAGCCCAGGAGGCGGTGCTGCTCGGGGGTCACAGTAATGGTGGACGGAGCCATAGTGTATTTGAAATATTTCCAGAAGTCAAAAAGAGCATTTAGACTGAAGAGGGAGGCAAATGCCAGCTCTGTGAAAGAGGATCGAAAATGGACACTCAGACATAAAAACTAGTTTCCTGGTTGAATGTATTGTTGAAAAAATACTTTTAAGTAAGAAAAATAGCTTTACTTTGCAGGATTATTCACTTTAATTAAAATCACAACCCAAAAATCATAAGCTGCTACGACTTATCAAAGTATTAACCTTATAACACGGGACACCATCTTAAAAATAGACATAGAATCTCACCAATGTACCAGATAGGCCAGTAGGTGATGTTGTAATACCGACACAGCAGTTTCCCCGACCTTACAGACACATGAGACACAATATATTAATATCAATGTGACCATAACAGGTTTAGGACAATATATCAACATGACAATTACATTTCGGTGTAAATCATGCCAGCCAGGGACACGTTGAGGACAGCCCAGGCGAGGACGACCTGTCGAGCCTGCTCTTCCCTCCTCATCTTCAGTGCCCTGTCGATCATACAGGGCGTCCCTTCCCTCGGTGGGGTCAACATGGTTCAAGTACAGATTAGGCTGGGAAAGTTAGGTAGGAGAGTAACACATTCTGAGATTCGAAAGAAGGCCAAAAAATGTGTTTGCGACATCATAATTCAGATTAAATATTCACAAAGTAAAGTGGTGAACTGTCTTTTCTAACCTGGCATATGATTAAGTTGAAAGCTAGCTATTAACTCCATAGGTAGCAATGTTAAATGAGCCTGCTAGCTAAAACGTTAGCTTTAGCTAACTTGTAAACAAAACAAAGCAGCGGAGAGAAAGTTCAGTTTTAGAAATTTCAGTTTAGAGAGAAATTGTACACTCGAAGTAAAGCTTTGATGCAATTTGTACCTAAAAAACACAATGAAAGTTAGAAAATATTCATACCACGATGATGCAAATGACGGCTACGGCGCTGCATAATTCGTAATTCAACCGGAAGTTATTTTATCCACTTCCGGTTTATTTTCTTCCCATTTTTTCGGCAAAATTGAATTAAGAAAGTAAATAGATACATGTAAAAACTCACAACAAGACACTTATGTCAGATTTTTAAAAACATTTAAAAAACAAATCCTAAATAAATCTGAAGAATACTCTAATTTAGGCTATGTTGGTCTATTTATGAAAATATAAAAATAAATAGATTTCAATGTCTACATTTCAGTTCTTATTAACCCCAGAGTTTATTAATTCAAAGTCAAATATGATCTAGCATGGAGTGCTGGATAGTCTAGTTTAGCCTTAATTTTGACAATTTGTCCCCTTTCATGTCCTTCAAAAGCATTGTGGGGTTAGTTCCATCAATGTAGAAAATCTAATTTAATCATTTAATTGGTTCAACTTTAGCATGTTGATTCATGTACTGAGACATTTATATACTTGTTATTCTTAACTCACCTGTTCCAGCACTCCATGGGCTTTTTTCTCATGTATGCAGAACTCTTTCCATAGTTTACAGTATTTGTCCTTCCACCAGTGAGCCGTTGAACAATCCTACCCCGATATAATGTTCTCACTATAAATCAGGTGGAATTGTTACGATCACATACCCTCAAATATGTAGAAAAGTAGCCAACGAAAAAAAATGACAGGTATGTAACATAAAGAAGACAGTACTTTTGTAAATTCTGTTTCCTGTTTATTTATTAAAACAATCAACAGTTTGGTTAAGAGTTCATAGTCAGTCATTACTTTAATGCCCATATTCTTAAGATGAAAAAGTATAAAGACTTCAGCTTTGAACCTTTCAGCTCAGAATTCGTATTTGACATTATTGTGCAAAAACAAAAGAAGACCTGCCCCTTTTTGAGGCAAAAAGTTATTGAAATTTCACATAACCCACCAAAGCTGAAATAAAGAGGCAACAAATACAGAAAGTCAAACAGAGATCTCGTGAGATATTTAGAATTTGGATTCCTTATGGCGATATTTGGCAGATACAAGAGGTAAACATGACCAGTAAATAAATAAAAATCTTAAGAGGCACAGTTTTCAATGAGGCGGCGACAGGGATTTGTCAGAGTTATATCCTCCCACGTCCAATCCACAGTCTTCTTCGCTGGCTGTATCCACAAGTCTTTCTCCTCTTCGTCTCCTACTCCTCCCTCTGCTTTCATCCTCCTCTTCCTCCTCATCCCCGTCCTGCTCCTTACTCCCCGGCCTCTCTGTCTTGGGGCCTTTGCAGATCTTGAGGTGGCGCGTGAGGTGGTACTTGGTGAGGAACGCTTTGTGGCACTTCTCGCAGACAAAGTCTCTTCGGCCTTCGTGGGAGTTCATGTGCTTCTTCAGGTGGTTGGTTTTCAGGAAGTGTTTGTTGCACTTTGGGCACTGGATCCTGCGCTCGCTGTTGGAAAACACAAGAGGAAAACACATAAAAACCACTCTAACCGGCGTCCAAACGGGCTCCGGATGCCTCTGGAGGAGGGAACCTGCACTCACTGTGTGTGGGAGAACATGTGCTGCTTCAGGTCGTGTTTCCTGAAGAAGGCCCGCTCGCACAGGTCGCACTTCAGCTTCTCGGCCCCGGTGTGGATGAGCATGTGCGAGGCCACGTGAGACTTCTGGGTGAACGACTTCTCACAGACCGAGCACCTGTAGTTCTTCTGACCTGTCGGGATGATGAAGGCGTCAAAGGGTCAGGAGGCCGGCACCAGGAGAGGAAGTGTATCTGCTTTTCTCTCTCTTTTCTTTTCTCTCTTTTCTTTCTCTTTTCCATATGCTGAATGTTTTCCAGCTGTGAATAATCTCAAATTCAGCTACAGTTTCAGCTCCAGTCGATTGTTTGATTAGACCATCAATTTCTTTTTTCTTTTCTTTTTTTTCACATTTATTTTTTATTTTTAAGTCAGTATTTATTTACATTAAATGTAATTTATTAATTTATTGAAGGCACATAGCAAAATCTTAAATTCTCCCATTAAAATAATATTTTACCATAAGTCAGCCATTCAGCAAGTTGTCTAATATATTAAAAACTTGTGAACGTTCCATTTATCAATGGCAAATATCACCTGTGGTGATGTAGACCATCAATTTCTATTGATCCGTTTATTTATTCCTCTATCCATGCTGGAGAAGCAATTAAATTTTATTTATATAAGGCCACATCACAACAAAAGTTATCTCACAGCGCTTTCCAAACAGAGCAGGTCAGACCCTACTCTGAAGTTAACTACAGAAACCCAACAATTCCCACCAAGAGCAAGCACTAGGCGACACAGGCAAGGAAAAACTTCCTTTTAACAGGCATTATTGTTATTTATTGTTTTTTGTGTTTATTTATCTTTTATGTTTTCCTGTCTCTTTCTGTTCACCTGTATGATGCTAAATGCTTGATAACCCCCATTTAAGGCAATAAAGTTTTTTTTTTTTAATTGTGACAGACTAGACCCAATTTCTGTTATTTATTAATAATTAATAATATTTTTATTATTATTTATTGTTTTTGTGTTTATTTATCTTTTATGTTTTCCTGTCTTTTTCTGTTCCCCTGTATGATGCTAAATGCTTGATAACCCCCATTTAAGGTAATAAATTTAAAAAAAAAAAAGTGTGACAGACTAGACCCAATTTCTGTTATTTATTAATAATATTTCTATTATTATTATTTATTGTTTTTTGTGTTTATTTATCTTTTATGTTTTCCTGTCTTTTTCTGTTCCCCTGTATGATGCTAAATGCTTGATAACCCCCATTTAAGGCAATAAAGCTAAAAAAAATAAAAAAAAAGGTGGGCGCCTCTCTGAATACCTGTGTGGATCTTCAGGTGCATCCGGAGGTTGCTGGGGTCGCTGAAGGCCTTGCTGCAGTACTCGCACTTGTGGGGCTTCATGCCCACGTGTCCCATGAAGTGCACGTTGAGCTTGGTGGAGGTGATGAAGGCCCGGGAGCACATGCTGCACTTGAACTTCTTCTCCCGGACGTTGGTTTGGCCTTTGGCCCTGGAGGAGCTCCGGCCCCCCCCGTCCTGGTGGCCGTTCAGGGGCCAGGGGGAGGAGGACGAGCTGGAGCCGCCATTGGCCAGTTTCTCCCCCGGGTGGATGTTCGGCTGCTGCTGCTCCTGTTGCCGTGGCGGCGGTGGCGGGGGGGGCGGGGGCTGCTGAGTGGGGTCCTGGTGGGGGGGGCTGTGGCCGTGGGGGGGCTGGGTGTGGCCCCGGCTGCTGTTGTGGCTGCTCAGGTGAGACTTGAGCTCAGAAAAAGACGAGCACTCTTTGCCACACTGGCACATCTGGCCCTCCGGCACCTGGGGAACACCTGGGGGACCGAACGATGACGTCATGGTCACTTCTGGGTTATGAGTAGGGCTGTCAAAAGTATCGATACACAAAAAAGTATCGATACTAAATAATAACACGCCAACATTAATCAAGTCCGTCTGGCTGCAGACTGCAGAAGGCCAAGGATGGATATCCAACTCCGCCCAAATCCAAGTCGACCATTTTGATTAGGTCACCAATAGGAAGATTGCAGGCAAGAAAATGGTAATTGCTTAATGGCAATATAGACATTAATTTAAAAATAGTGAAATGAATCTTGCAAACACTGAATTAAACTCTATCCATAATATTATGTTAAAATAGTGGATGTTAAATAGGTTTGTACAATAAGTCTAAACATATTTAACCAAAAAATATTTATTCCTCACAATTATGAAGGGTGGAGTGTTAGGGTCAGGGTTAGGGTTAGGGTTAGGGTCATTCATTTGAAACAAAAGAGAATAACCTGTCAAAATTCAGTTAAATTTTGGGGTCTTTGTTTTTATCCTTGTGGTATCAAAAATGGTATCGAGTATCGAATATTTTCCTGAGTATCGGTATCGAGTTGAAAATGTTAGTATCGTGACAACCCTAGTTATGAACATCCGCTCGCTCCTCTGTGCACACACACTCACCCATCAGCCTGCAGTAGTCCCGGCTGTAGTAGAAAAGCAGCTCCTGGTCCGGGTGGATCTCTGTGGTGGTGCAGAAGAAAAGCTTCCCATTGGCCGGGTACGCCACCAGATTCTGCTCCTCGTGGGTCCTGAATGCACCAAACGTCCAGACTTACTTCAGACACTGGTTTGTTTTGATGGTTTATACAATATGTTTCTTTATGACACGCAAAAAACGAATAAACTCTCATTTTAAGGCTCTTTTTCCACACCTTGCCTTGCGGACAAACATCATCCAGTTGCATTCGTTCTCATCTGTTGTCACGATGTAGAACTCCAGCACGTTGTTGTGATACATCTGCAGCACATAACGCCTGTTTTCATGTCTCTGCGTTTGGATTTTTCCGTCCAATGAGCAGGATTCTGCGCTGGTGACAAACCTTCCATATCTGAGGGGTTTCCTTCTCTGGCCAATCGGAGAGATCCACGTTGCTGCAGTGCTGGCCCACCATTGGTCCAAAGCAGGTCCTCGGGGGAATGACATCCCGTGCAAAAACCCCTAAGATGGAAGATGCATGACCAATGATGACCATTTATGACCGCGGGCCAGTTATGATGAGAGAAACCGCAAACTTAACTCATTGACTGCTAGCCATTTTCAGAAATTGTTTCTACCTTATTCCGTTCTTCCTCGACTTGCGTCTCACCGGTGCCATTTTTCGCATAGCGAACCATTGCGTATTTTTTATTTGCCTACAGTCTATGCTCATCTCCCATCAAAAGTGGCACTGCCCCCTAGAGGGTCAATTTGTTACTACATACTCTGTCTAGAAGCCGATATTTACGGACAAGCTTTAGCGGATCGTCCCCCAAGTCACTTGCGTTGAAAAACATAAAAGACGTCTATAGACGTCTTTGGCATTCAGCGGTTGGATTTGAATTAACGTCTATAGACGTCTTTGGCAGCGAATGAGTTAATGATGTTTGTTCTGTTACCGAGAGGCTCGTCGGCCACTGAGATGCGCAGGCAGAGCGGGCGGGGCAGAGAGAGCCGAGCCCGGCTCTGGATGGGCGTGTCGTGGATGAAAGTGACCGGGCCGTGTTCTGGGCAGTCTGAGGTGTATGACCGCTCACAGAGGGTGCACCCTGGAAGAACAGAACAACACAGCAGAGCTCAACGTTCAACTTTCACTGATCTAACAGATAAAGAAGAAGAACAGAAATGTGGCAGGAGTAAAATCAATCCAGAAATTGAAGACAAATGTGACAAGTGTCAGGACTCTCCGTGTCATCTTAGTCAAATGTTTTTTTTTTCCCTGACCTGGCTGCTTTTTGGTCTGGTTACTTCACAGCTATGTCTACTATTCTCAAAGTTAATTTGCAACCTTGTCCACTGACTGCTATATTTGGGATTTCTAATTCTTTAGTAGTATTAAATTCAAAGCAAAAAGATATTATAGCCTTTACATCCTTAATTGCAAGAGTTTCAATATTATTACACTGGAAGTCTGCTAGATATCCCTCCATCGCCCAATGGCTTAAGGACATGGTGTTTTTTCTTAAACTGGAAAAAATCAAATATACAATGAGAGGATGTACGGACAATGTTTTCTTTCTTATTTTTGAGATTTGGAGCTCCTACCTAATTAAATATGTGTGCCTGTTGCTGTACTTTACTGATGTTTTTTTTTTAAATTATTATTATCTTTTTATTTTTGTATTATTATTATTAATCTTATTTTTCTGCTGAATGTGTTGGGCTGAGACAGGGTGGGAATGGTGGGGTTGTTCTCTTCTTTTATTGTTCTTATTTTGTTTTGTTTTAGTTTTTTGAATATGTAGTAGGTGTGACTACTTCAACATTTATACTTGTATTTATATATTAGAAGTTATACCTGCACAATTATATGTTTATCTAAAAAGAGAAAAAAAGAAAAGTAATCTGTATTCCTTATTGGTATCATCTTATCATTTGTTTCAATAAAAATAATTTGAAAAAAAAAAAAAAGTGGCAGGAATCCCAAACTCACAGATCGTGTAGGCTGTCACAATGTTCTCCTTGTTGGAAGTGGAGTCCTCCAGCTGCAGAGTGGAGTTGACCAGCACCAGGTGGTTCTCAGGCCCCAGAGACACCTCTGCAGTGATGGGAGACACGTTAACCCCCTCCAGTCCCATCCCAGCGTGACCGTGGAGGGACACCTGCTCCATCTGGCCCTGGCTGGCCATGGACCCCGTGAGCACCACGCTCACCACGCCCGAGTTCAGTTCCCCGTTCGTGTGGAGCTGCTCCCCTAGTCCCCCGGCCCCTCCCCCACCAGACCCGCCCACCCTCCCCCCCATGTGATCCGGCTCCATCACCACGGGCAGTTCCAGGACGGGGGGTCCGTGGAGGGGCATCACCCCCCCTGAAGAGTCGACCCCTGCCAGGCCCTCGTGGGGCTGAGGCTGCCTCCCTCCACCGAGCTGCTGCTGGCCGTCTGACACCACCCCGACGCCGTCCATATTGGCCAGCTCCTCTCCCATACGGTTGGGGGAGATAGGGCTGCTGACGCGCGACTCCATGGCTAATCCGGTCGAGTCCAGCTCGTGGGGGCCGGCCTGGTGGAGGTCTCCCTGCCCACTGACCTGTCGTGAGTCTATGGGCACCAAACCCTGCTCCAGCGGGCCCCCGGGGCCACTGTACGGGTCCAGCCCTGAGGGGTTGTTGCTGGCCACGGACAGGGTCCCGTCCATGTTGAGGCTGCTGGGATGAATGTACTGAGGGGGTGGACGGTCAGCCAGATAGGATAAGATACCTGTAGGGAGAAGAGAAAGATTTAAAAGCATTTTTTCAATTATCTACTATCTGACAACATTAACTCATTGGCTGCCAAAGACATCTATAGACATCTTTTATGTTTTTCAATGCGAGTGGCTGGGGGACGATCGGCTAAAGCTTGTCCGTAAATATCAGGCTTCCAGACAGAGTATGTAGTTACAAATTGACCCTCTAGGTGGCAGTGCCACTTTTGAATGGAGATGAGCATAGATTGTAGACAAATAAAAAAGAACCTCAATGGTTCGCTATGCGAAAAATGGCGCCGGTGAGACGCACGTCGAGGAAGAACGAAATAAGGTAGAAACACATTTTTTTTCCTGATGAAAGAAGAGAGTCTACTCTTTATTTTGGTGTGTTCGGTGTTTACATAGTCATAGCACAAACTATTCTGTGGCTCTTGAGTCAGTCAAAATGCTCAAAAAACTCTGGCAGTATGGGACTCTCTGTTCTGAAAATGGCTGGCAGTCAATGAGTTAATCTATCACATTACTTATTTGAAACCTTGTTCTAATTAATCACACAAACCTACCAGGCAGAATGTGGCGAAAGTAGCTGCTCTCTAGATGGGGGTATGGAGGAGGCGGTAAGGAGTAATTCCTTTCCGGGAGGCCACACATCACTCCTCTGTCGCTCAGCGGACCCATGGGGAGCATCAGAGACAAAGCAGAAGGAAGGGAGCCGAGGGAAGGGCCCAGACTGGGGATGGCTACTGGCATGCCTGAACCAGAAAAGGCATGAAAGTGTCAACTTTCAACCAAGTGTTCAGAAACTATTTGTTAGTGAGAGGCAGCTCATTTGTTCAGCTATACGTAGATATCAATTATGACCGTTTTTAGCTTGAATAAACTGATCAAATGTTCCATACCTGGAGTGGCAATTGGATTGTGTGTGGGGGAGGTGGGCAGGCCCAGGTGGCCGGAACTCACTGAGGGCACGCTGAGCTGGTCCATGCCCACAGGACTCAGGTTCATCTCATTCATCCTGGAAAACCATCACCAGGGTCAGGGAGCCAGCCATGCATTGTACATAAAGAAAGTCAATAGTCTAATGGCAAATGTCAGATATGAGGTGAACACTTGTGGCACACACAGATGGAAATGATTCAGAGTAAAGAAGCTGTGAGCTTTGCTAGCTTACCTGAATTCAACAACTGTTGTTCTTTCAATAACTGTACGCAACTGCTACATGGTTAGACATTAATATTTCTGATGGGGAAAGCAACTAATTTCTCCAAAGAGCGAGATATACTACAGCTTCAGTTAAAAATAACTACGACAGCAACTCACTTTCCATTTCACACAAAGGTAAACAGCTAGCCTGTTAGCCTAGCACCTCACTGTTAGCCGCTATCCTTGCAAAATTACGCTTCCTTAAATCATCAAAACATAATCATTTTACGTGTGCCGATTCCGCAAAGGTGCAAATATATCTCGACACGAACATAGATGAGGCTTCATGGCAGATATGTTGAATAGTTCCCATAAAGTAGTAGCATTCCAAAACAACACCACCCCGAAAGCGGCCATGACAGCAACTCCGAGCCCTCCGGCCCCTCCGCGCATGCGCGAAGTTCTCCAACAACGGATGGCTGATCTCTGATCAGTTTTTATTTTCCGCCCGTTGTTGCATTGTGTTGGGAAATTATGTTTAATTCACGGTTTCTTAACCAAACACACAGTAAGAAATGTGTTATTTTTCGTGGTATATCCAGTTGATATCAGTTTATATATCAGTTTTTTTTGTGTAATGCTGACCTACCCTGTTCTCTACAGGAAGACTGTTCTAAACAGGAATTCAACTTATTCCCTTGAATTGATGCAAATTTTGGGACCAACTGTCGTAACGAAAACAGACAAAGGCACGGCAATGAGACTGGTACACAAAGAAGAAAACAATAATATGAACACTGAACTGTCATCTATTATTTCGTACATTCAAGAGTTCAATTTCATCGACTCCAATTCTAATTTCTTGACTTTAACATTTGGGTTAATCTAAGTTAATTGCTTTTGCCACCTGTGGGGAGAATTGCGTTTAAAAAAGGAAAACGTTATGTAAACTTCTTTTCTTTTTTTTACCTCCGTGAGAAAGCTATACGGCTGCATCTCTGCTCCAGATCACACCCACTGAGCCTGCAGCCTCAAAACTCCCTGCCACACTCAGGATTACACATTTAAATACTAATCGTCCACGGGTTTATTCCAAAAGACTCCGGGGGACACTTGC